CTTCATGGCAGGACAGCCGAACCTGCCATCAGAATGACAGGACAGCCGCATCTGCTAGAAACATGGCAGGACAACCAAGTCTGCCAGCATCATGGCAAGACAATTAGACTGCCAGAACATGGCAGGACAACCGAGACTGCCAGAACATGGCAGGACAACTCAGACTGCCAGCTTCATGGCAGGACAGCCGAACCTGCCATCAGAATGACAGGACAGCCGAATCTGCTAGAAACATGGCAGGACAACCAAGTCTGCCAGCATCATGGCAAGACAATTAGACTGCCGAGAATGCCACCAGAATGGCAGCACATCTTAATCTGCCAGAACCCTGGCTGGACAACCATGTCTGCTAGCTTCATGGCAGGACAACCAAGACTGTCAGCATCATGGCAGGACAATCGAGACAGCCAGCATCATAACAGTCTGGATCTGAAGCCTAGATCTTTCATGGAGCATATATCCTATTTCCTGGAAATTCAGTAGGTTGGAGTCCCTGAAATTAGAAGAAAATCAGATTAAGAAAACAAACAATTTGATAAAGCAATATATAGATCATTACAGCATCTTATTTTGGCATTTACATATAAAATTCTATTCAACTTTAAAATAATATGAACATATTTAATGAAGCACCACATTTTCTTAAGTAGAGGACTTTACAATGGATTCATTCTCATTCTTTTATACACTGTACATATTGTTTAACGTCAACATGCTTCTTTAGATTCATAAGTTAGATGCGATATGAAAAGAGCCTGCACTTATATCACGGAAAAATTCACGGATATGTAAAAGAATCAGATCGGTAAACGAAAACATTTGATGGGCGAAGTGTGCATAAGATTGACAGGATCGAAAAATACATGTGCATTATCTAGGCACATTTTCAATGGCCAAGCCAAGGTTTTCTGGGGAGGGGGGTTCAGGAAAATAAAAACAGAAGACGAGGAGACATTAAAAGAATGACATCTGTTCGTATGAGATTAGTATTTCCAAATAAAAACATTATAAACAACTGTTTATGCCTCCGTAACAATCTCTTATCAAATTATTACAAGAAAAAAAACTTTTTAGAAAAAAAAACATGGACTAACTTTGAATGTAGTTAAACATTGGTTAGTATGGGTATGGGAGATGTTTTCCCCAGATAAATAATTTCTTTGCCAAAACAACCAGTTGTTATCCCTTTAACAGTTTGTAGGGCATATTGATGAAAAACTAGTCAATGTCCTCTCCAATAAAACAAAACCCATAAAAAGAATGTATAATACCTACCCAATAGTTTTACACTGTTGAAGACGGATGTCTATAGTTCAGACCTTTTGGCAGCCAAAATAAGCACATCACTTCCTTATTGTCAAATGCGTTTCCTCTCTAAAATAACAAAATATGTATTATTCAAACTTATAGTTGATTTTTGACTGCTAATAGAGTGTATTTGACGTTTGTACAATGTTTCTACGGTCATAAGGACTAAAGCAAACTGCATCTGAGATCATTTGGGCCAACGTCGTCAACACAAAATACGCAATTTTATATCATGTATAGAATGCAACTTGATGTCATTTTTTGTGCTTATTTTTTGGCCGACATGTGGCAATTGTGGCAACGTACCCTGAATATCTGTCTCCTCCATCTTCTACTGACCTTTCTGAACACCTCTCATCTGAATTACATAATAATGTACAGATACCCTGTGGGAGCAACCGGCTCACAGCCTGGGCAGCAGACGGCAAGCATGGCGGTTATTTAGGAAATTTTTAGACTTGGCCTCGTTTTCAAAAAGAGAGTTGAAGCTCCAAGAGAAAAAGCCGGGAGATAAAGGCATAGAGACCTGTAAGATGTAGGGGTGTTTATACAATGGCCTTTCGAGTTTTATACTAATTAACTTAACTAGACGATACGGTATATAATTATCTAACATTTTAATATACACCAAAGGAATATCTGTGTATCGATTTCACTGAATATTCTCTTAAGTTACTGGCGAGTAGCGAAATGACCGCACGCAAAACATATACTTTTGAATTGTGCCAAATGTAGCTTAACGTTTTTTTTATCTGTACCTGTTTTTTCATAGTTTGGCATTCACTTTTGAACAAAGAAATTGTTTAAAATGTGCGATGGCCTGTAACTTTTAGATTTTCAGCATTTCCAACAAGCTGTATATTCACCGTACCGGGTAACTATCATTTTGCCAATCGAGTGATGGATACTTGGCTACTTATGCAATTTCTTCATGTTTTATTGTAAATAAGATGATTAAGTGGTTTGCGGAATCACGTTGTCACCTGCCCTGCATACACGTACAGTACATAATGTACCTCTGTATGTGCATATGGTGGTGTACAGGTACTTGTTTGCAGGTGGAGGGGGGGGAGGGGGGGCGTTGGTACATTGTAGTAGCTAGTAGTTGTGAAAGGTAGAGGATTATAATCTAACCATAGGCATGTTTTTAAATATATGCATCTTAAAGTTGGGCTTTAAACATGTTTACTTTTTTGTCGGGGGGGGGGGGAGCAAATGGGTTGTGTTAATTTTGACATAAACCCAAAATAAATTTTAATGCTGCATTGGTTGGGAGTTTTGAGTGGAATAGTGTAATAAAAATGGCAGTATGACACAGATAATTAATATGTATGTGTCTTGTCAGTAAGTGATAGGCAAATAATCATTTAAGGAACTGTTGATTTTGACCATTACGGAATATCAAAGGGA